TTATCTCCAAGATCAACAGATCGCCAACATGCCCTATGAGTCGCTAGGATTCAGGGAGATTATCCGGAACTGCACCGATTGGCCCGACTCCACATACTTCACCACCTCCGTGTTTCATCAGAATGTCGAGTATGAGGGACAGATGCATCTAGACGGCAATTCGTACCGGATGGGAGGCGTTGGTGTTTTGGACAACTTCACTGATCTCACGCTGGCCTCCAAATCCTGTGGTCAAGAGAAGCTCGATGTCTCAATCGGGTACTCGCTCAAAGGCCCCATTCCAGCAACCTTCATCGCTAAAGCCCTTAACATGGTTTGCGAGACTGTGCAGAGCCTGATTGCCAATCCCAGCGTCCCACTTGCCTCCCCTGCCACTATCCGCTCCCTGCCTAGCCAAGTCATTCGTGAAACACCCAGGGCATCTGATACACCCTTCCTCTCGTCAAATCTAAACAGCCAGAAGATGTCGGAGATTGTAATTCACTCAGATATCCTTACCCGGTCCTGGCAGCAGGTGCTACCCCGTCGGACTGACAACCCACAATACCAACTCGATGCATCTTTCTTCGACCTGGGCGGAGACATCATGAATGTTGCCCAACTGGTCTGGATCCTGGGAGAAGAAGGCTTCAGTGTCCGTTTGGAAGACCTTCTCGAGCACCATACGTTCCTGGGAATGATGGCCGTGATGGCGATGCACCACAAGCCGGAACTGAATGCCAGAATGGCAGCGACCATGGCTGAAGAACCAGCCAAGGACATGAGAATGACTATGACAAAGAGCAACAGCTGGAGCTCGCTGGGCAAAGCGATGACGCTTGCTAAGAGATTTACTAGATGGGGGGCTGTAGCAGCCAAAAAGTGAGGTTTACATTCATTGTGGAGGATACATAACATAACACACTCTTTCGATTTCTAACATGTACTATTCTGTTTTTTTCTGTAACGCATATAATTGTGTCGAACTACATTCCTTTTTGTTTCCATGTTTGCCGTTGAATATTGACTGTCTTCTTTTGCAAACTAGATCGTATGATGATGATGATCTAGATCTCTTGTTATTAAAAGCTCATTTGATAATCTGTGTTTTCATAGATCTGTTTTGACTACAGCTCATCATCTTGATAGTTTTAAACCCTCCCAACTAGTCTGGGATTGGTAGAGAATGATATAGAGACTATGTTTATACCATCATTCCCCACCACTATTATTACCATGGACTATGTACTGTTAGGATCATACCACATGGGTATTCACCAACAAATGCACTTAAGGCTCCGCGACGCAATGAGCCACCTTAACTATGCTGCACAATACCATACAATTACATTACATGTCAAGACGAAGGGTCAAGAACATATGGATTTGATCTATCTAGATCTCAAGAAGATGGTTGGTGGTTGGAAGAGGTGGTGGTCAGAGACCACGCAGGAAGAAAGGCGAAGGATCAGCTGACAGCTGCCTGGCTGCAGTGAATGTCTCAACATTACATTATGCGTTCGCCGCTGTATGAGGGAACCAAGCGCCGCGCTGCGGCAGCCTAGGCTCAATTTGACTAGAGGAACCACTTTGGTACAGCATTACAGGCATCCATACAACCAAGGCAGACCTGAGTAGACTGCATTAATCACTATACGTAGATGCAAAAACGATAGCTATATCTAAATCATTCCATTTAACTAAACCTAGACATTAATCGGTGATAATACGTTATTCCTGTCTATCAAAACCCCGGCCGTGCTATGCGTGTCATGCCATATAAAACAAATCAAACCAAACAAAACCAGAGGTATCTCGAGCAATCCGACACAAAATCCCAGTGAACAAAACTTTTATAAATCTTACCCGCTTCATTTCAACTTTGGAAGACTGGCATAGAATGGACGTGGGGGTATATGTGAACGCGATGGGTATAGGAAGAGAGACGACGTTTCTGAGCAAAAACATCCAAGATAGGTAAGAGGTAGGATCAGTACCCGTAAACCGAAGCCCGGGACCACTTTCCCTTCGCCCTGATGCGCTTTCCGAAGATATAGAACAGGTAAGGGATCGGGATCAATGCGACAGCCACAAAACCTAGCACACTCGCAGCCCAGTCCACACCAAGACGATGGAACATGATATTAGCGAAGAGAGGGAAGCAGCCCGCGAACAGACTTCTCAGGAAAGTGTTCGCCGCAACAGCACTAGCGGAGACTTTCTGGAAGGTGTCGATCAGGTAGTTCAGGGCAGCTTGGAAGATGGTGAAGAAGCCGAAACCCATGCAGACGGCGCCGATGATGGGAGCGATCCAATGGATGTGGGGGTCACTTGTCCAGGCGAAGATGAAGAGACCGGCGGCGAAAACGATAGAGCCGAGCATCATTGGGGGCAGACGGGCTTCAGGGACGGGGAAGTTGTTGTTCGCTTTAAAGCGAGCGATGTAGAATTTCTGGTTGAAGAGGTTAATGCAGGCGCCGAAGAGGATACCGACGAGGTAGGCGAGGAAAGGCAGGGCGCCGACGACTTGGTTCCAGCCGCGGACTTCTTGGAATTCGATGGGGAAGGAGGCCAAACTGAGGTATAGGATACCGTAGACGAAGGAGGCGTAGATGGCGACGAGGAAGCAGATGGGCGTAGTGAGGAGGGCGAAGGGTCGGATGAGATACTTATTGCCGAGTTCCTTGAAGGTGACGTCCCATTCTTCATGACGGGCGTGGAGAGCCCAGTTGCCTGTTTCGAAGCGGAGTCGCTGAGCCTTGTAAACGAGGAGAACAGCCGGGTAGCTCTCGTCGAGGAAGATGAGGTCCATCGCGAGGAAGAACATCATCATGATTCCGGTAATGTATTCGGTCCAGCGCCAGCCGAGATAGCTCTGGCAGATGGCACCTCCGACAATCGGACCCAGCACCGGTCCTCCGACCACAGCCATGGCGTAACCAACAATAGCGGCACCTCGCTGCTCTGCCGTCCAGATGTCGCTCAGGACACCACCGGTGTTCGTGACGGGCGCGGAGCCAAAGAATCCGCAGAAGAACCGAGTCAGCATGACGGTCTGGAGGTCCTTGGCTGTGGCGGTACCGAACGAGAAGATGGCTGCGATGAAGTACGGCGCAAGCACAGCAGGCTTACGTCCATAGACCTCGGATAGCGGTGCCCACACGAGAGGGCCAAGTCCTAATCACGTCAACTTATGCGCAGAGGTCGAGCGATAGTATCAAGACCTACCAAAACCGAACAACAGCAGCGTTGTACCCAATGTGCCGACCTCCTCACCCACGTGGAACTCCGCATCGATTTGCTTGGTGCCCGTAGAGAAACTGCGCTTTATCAGTAACTGGAATACAGTCCAAGTATCGGCATAGAGGAACAGCAAGCATACATCGAACTAGCCCAAGTCGCACCTATAGAACGCACCCACCGTCAGTACATCACCTAAAGAAAAAAGTATAACAGCAATCGCACATACCCATTGTAGTCAACCCATACAAAACCGTCGTAATCGCCTTCTTGCGAAAACTCCAATTCATCGGCCTGTACGGATCATCCGGCCCATCAAAGTCGACAATGACGTCCTCGGAGGTCCTAGTATGCGACAGCGGATGCGTGAAGCGGGCAGTTTGACCCGGTTCGCGACTGCGAATGCGCGAGATCACCGAATGCGCACGATTTTCCAGGGCAGACATGCCTGACGCCGCGGTAGTCTGCTTCTCCAATGCAGTCGGATCATCCTGGTGTACGTATGCGCTGTGGTCTTCGGAGGACTCGACATCTTCGGATGAGAGCGATGAGCGTGAGTGCTCGCGTCGCGACATATTGAAAAACGATATATTCAATTGATTAATTCCGAGTTAGATAATGGCAATTAGAACCCGTTAAGTCACTATGCATATGAGACGAGGGGGAAATGATATCAGAGGGACGGAATCGAAAAAATATCCCCGATAAAAAAATCTCCGAATCTCCGAAAGCAACGGTGGGATAAGATAATTGCCGAACCCCAAGCATGCGACAGAGAGTATTGAAATGATTTCAACCACCAGCACGTTTTTTGAGCAGGTACCTGAGCAATGTGATCCAGCAGTGAAGGCGAAGATCCAAATTACTTCCAGGGCAGGATATGCCAGTATCTTTAAGGCACATTTCTTTGGCGTGGAACCGAAACCCGAAGCCGTTTTACCCGGGAGCAGCGTCATAGCATCGGACGTCCGATGGCGGCCCTCCCCCAACGGGCTCTTTGCATTTGCCGCACGCTGATTCGGCCATTCGGTAGAACTGTCCGCCGGATCGACGTTAATTCCTGGATAGATCAGGTCCTCGAACCGCCCTATGCACACCATGAGTCACTTCCTGCACGTATCACAGCCTGACAGGGCAGTTGTACCCGGTCAAGAGAGGAGGGGACCGTGATGGGTGTCATTTGTCACTTGTCAGGGACGGATGCATCCGATGGGGTACGTGACAGTCCGGAAACTTATCCGACCCACGGTGATCGTCGCCCACCGCTAGAAAGTCTAACTGTCGGTCAAAGAGTCAAGAGAGGTCTACTAAGGTCTAGACGAGGTAAGAGATAAGGGCGGCTCGTGTCTATAATTGTCGCTCCTACGTGGTCTGGGTCCCCTGTAACAAACAACAAACATGCATTGATTGCTCCGTCTATCCCTTTAAGTCTTATCGTAATGTTCCAATGCTGGCGGTAAATGTACAGCGTCATAATACATCAATCATCCATCCTCATCCGGATGTTGTCGCGTGCGCACTCTCCCACTTCTCAACGGCCTCGAGTGCGGCCGTCACTTTAAGCCCAACACGCGCGTCTAGTTCATAGCTCTCCCACTTGGCCGCCTTCTCCAGGTGCTCCTTGCATTCGCGCACTTGCCGACGCTCTAGCTGCATATCGCTGTCGGTGCTTGGTTTCTCGCTGGACGACGCCGGTCCTCCGTGGATAGCACTGTATGTCGGGCGCTCCATCCACAGGTTAGCCGCCATCTCAAAATGTGCCACCGGGTAGATCCAGTCATCCTTGAGATGTCCAGTGAACTGGGACTTGTCTTGGCTGAAGATGCTCGTGCGGATCATCTCCTTCGCCTCGTCGTGCCGGCGCATGGCACGGAGGACAGCTGCACGCAGGAGCTGCAATATAGCCTTCTCTTCCGGACCTTCGCGAGACCATGTCTTATTGGCTTCGCTTTCGGACCACGCCAGCTTCGTCATGGATTCTTCGAGCTGTTCCTGTGTCATTCGGCTGTGTCCGTTCCAGAAGAAAATCATCTCTTCAATCGGATCCACCCCCACAGCGTCCACCAAGGGCACCTTCCACTCCTTAGCGCGGGCCTCCCACTTGGCGATCTTGCGGGAAACAAAGACATCAAAAGGCAACTGTCGAGCCATGAATTTCTTCTTTCCAGCCAATGGCGGCGCCTTCCGGAAGTACTCTACGGCCTTCTCGGCGTGTTTGGCTGCTGCGGTGGCATCCGTTCCAGCAATGTTCCGGTACAAGCTGAGATGAGCCGATCCTGCAATATAGTAATATAGCGATCGAGACCAAGAGTTGAGTTCGACGCACTAATATGGTCAGTTTGATAATGAACTTCTGTGTGAACTAGAGATTGGCATACCTCGAGGAAGGACTCCGCACAAAGCTCGTATCTGTGGAGATACATGGCGTTCAAACTCCGTTCGAAAACCCGCAACGCCTCAACCTGCTTGAGCGGACTGCGGTCTTCTCCACAGAGCAGCTCCAAAGCAACATCTAATTTCTTGTTTGCTCCGTTCATCCGTGACTCCTCCAGCAGCCACAATTGACTCTTCGGGAACCGCTTCCGCATCAGGGCAAGCAAGGCCTCTAGCCGTTCCTGGGGATAGCCTTGCACGTCATCGCCAGGGACAGGATCGGGCATGATATCGCAATACCGAACAAAGCCGTTCGAATAGCCGAGAATGGAGAAAGCAGCGAGGGCGCCGATCAGGTTGTGAAATTTACTGGCTTGCCAAAGCATCCTCAATCCCCGCTCCTTGTCCCCATGGAAGCCAATGATTCCCAAAAGCTTACTGAATGCGGGCGGGACCATCGAGATCAGGAGCAGAAGAATTCCAAAACAGAAGTTGGCGCCGGAGTGGACGAAGACGTCGATCTGGTTCTTGAAAATATCCGAGTCAGGATCATGGCTGAGCATATCAGAAGGGCCTGATGCCGATGCTTCGGAGTCCGCGGAGATTGAAAGGTCTGAAAGTTCTTTTTTAAGGTCGATTGGTTCTACTGGAGATGCAGGAACGGATTTGGATCCCGCACCCTGCCCAGCACCCCGTGGGAGACTCTCTGTAGAAGTGCTATTCCCGGAGTTCCGCGCCTGCATGATGAACTTCTGCTCCATCTTAAGAATAGCGTCTAAGGTGATGTAGGCCTTTCTGAGCCTATAGAATCCTTTGATACTTTCCGTAAGGCTTTCATTCAGGACGCCGACGACAGCGCTCATGAGCTGCGCCATGGCCTGGCAGAGCGCAAATTCCGTCCCGGGAGCATATATTTGTGAGTGGTACGTATTTGGCGCATGAGAGTTATGTTGCGCGCGATGCTGGTCGTTGGCGGCACTCGTCTCCGCGGCATTGAGTCGCTCCGAGGCTAGAGAACATCAGTCATCAAGGACACTTCTAACAGAACAGTGGTCACACTGGTTACACACCCTGACGCATGATCTCCTGTTCGAATCCCAGTGTGGCCCGGATGAACGCAACGACGCCTCTGCCAAGCTATATACCAGGCACAAGTTGTAGATCAGCAGAGGCACTACAGAGCTAGTGACTTTGAAGATCGGCAGGTACTTGTCCAAACCAAAGGCATACGCACATTATGAAACGACGAGGTTCCTTCGGAAAGACCGTCTTCGGCGCCGTCCACATCGTCATTGAGGATTAAGGTGGCAGCTGGTTGCCCAACCCGTCAGTCAGCATAGCGCCCTTAGCACTGACCCCGGAAGAGCGGGGATTCGATCACGCATGAGAAATTGGACATACCCCTCATAGCATCCTCAACTTTGAGTCCCAAAAAATTTATTGTCAGCGTCATTCACATTGTAGACGGCGCTGAGAAGGCCTCTGTGCTCACTCACGATCTCGCAGTTCGGACAGAGAGTCCAGGGACTGGGTGGAGGCCGGCTTCTTGCCATAGAGCCAGGAGCCCACGCGAAACATATTCAAAAGAAGGAGCCCGGTAAGAACCAGGCTTAAAAGTAATGATCAAACTTGAAAGGGGAGTTGTGCACGAGACGGATGGCGATCAATTAACCAAGAACCGAAGGGCTCCGAAGCCCAAAGCGAGACGTAGACGGAATGGGGAAGATTATCGAATCTCCCATTCGATACGCACCAAGAACGTAGTGAGACTCCGGGAACATAACCCAAGGAAGAGAGAGAGGTGGGGGGCAAAGAGAATAAATAACAACAGTCAAAAGGTAAGAAAATTGTACGGAAATAAAAAAGAGGCGACTCCGACCCAAGGGCTAGGCTGGAAGGCCTGGGGATTATAAGCAACGGGGACCAGAAACAATAATAGCGTCGAAACCACGGTCCACTTGCGGCGGCGAGGCGGAGCAACTGGCTGGATATTGCCGGGCGTTGCTCACGAACAAGGCAGTCAGAGATCACGAACCGTGATTTAGCGCATCGGGAGAGGGGATCGTTTAAATGTCTCACGAATAGGAGGGAGGAAATGCTGGACAGAATGGAGCTGGGGTCATCTCCGGTATGTCCGGCAAGACTGGAGGGGGAGGGAGACGAAGAAGGAGGAGATCAATAAAGCTTGACGTCGTCAGGTCGAACTGACCGACTGCGGACTAGTCCAGTGAGTGAGTTTGATTGTAGTGCCGCCCAGCCAAAGGTGAACCGACGCCATCGCCTGCGTCTCCGCCGCCGCCGCCGCGACTCTCTCTCTCATTCCATTACCTTGCCAACTACCAACATCACCCACCACCGCCACTTTTCCAATCTTCTGATCTGTCATTTCTCATTCCTCACCTCTCCTCCTCCTCCCGCCTCCCTCTTCGTTTCCTTCGTACGACCCCTCCTTTCACCTCCCTAGAGCCCCTGTCCGCTCTCGCTCCCCCTCCCACGCCTACCCATCATGTCGAATCCCACCGCGACCCAGGACACCAAGGCCGAGCCTACCCAACAGCCACAGCAACAGAAGCCCCCCGTGCTGGAAGAAGATGACGAGTTTGAGGACTTCCCCGTTGAAGGTTAGCCACAAACCACACAGACCGCTGGTCTTTCCTGTCATGCAGAAGAGGGAGCTTCGCTCCGCCCAGACAGCCGGCAAAATGATCTTACGGATGACGGGTTGCGCTGACCTCGGAGCTTTAATTGCAGACTGGCCCCAGGAGGAAACCGAACAAGGATCTGCTGCCAACGGCGCAAGCGCTCATTTGTGGGAGGAGAGCTGGGATGATGACGATGCGGCCGAGGACTTCTCGAAGCAACTGAAGTACGTTTTCCCAAGCCAAGCCAAACCGAACCAAACCAAACCGAACCAAACCGAACCAAACCAAACCTCATCGGTCAATGCTATGAGCGCAATATGTTACCATTGATCTACACCTCATCTAAAGCTCAAATTGGACTAACATGTTTGCTTCAAACTACAGAGAGGAGCTGAAGAAGGTCGGGGCGTCTAATCAATAGATTATGTTAGATGACGGGTTATCGGTTTAATTGAGATGAACACACGCAAATTCCACGAAGCATTAATCACTTGATTACACGTGCAGCTTTACCCTCACGCGGCTCGGTAGCGAGACGATGAACAATGTTGGAGCTAGATAGACTTGTTTGAGTAAGAGATTCGTCTGCTTTGGCGGTGCCGGACCGGTGGCTAGCCCAGCTGCGTGGTTGTGGAGGATTCGTCTGCAGAGGATAAGTCGTCTATGGTGGGAGATCTGGTACAGGCTAGCACTTCGCTGGAAGCGGTGTATGTGCTGCATGAGCACATTATGTACTTTCTACGATTATTTACACACCCATTACTGAAAGGATCAAGTCCACCGCCCATCAACTTGTGGCCCCCTCTTCGTAGCTCGCATTTGATAAAACTAGACTCACAGCTTCGGACCCGTCACTAGTCATGAGATTGCATCATCTTGATAATGAAGGTAAACGCGTATTTTGTTGAGATTAATTATCATTCTTTGTACATTACATTCGTAAAATTGTTCCCTGTCTTGAAGGGGCGCCGGGAAGGCTGACAGGTACTACACAAGCCGCCTGTCCACTAGTCCCGAGCATGGAAGCTCAACCACAGCTCATCCTCCTCCAAAGAAACATGGACGGATTTTGTCTTGCAGCATCTCCGCATATCCAGAGTGGTAATATGTTTGTTCAAATTTACTTACTCGACAGGGCAGCAACACCGGGCAGCTCCTTGCCCTCCAGGAGCTCCAGAGAGGCACCACCACCGGTGGAGACGTGGCTAAGCTTGTCTTCGACACCGTACTTGGCGGCAACGGTGGCAGTGTCACCACCTCCGATGATGACGATGGAGCCGGACTGAGCAGCGGAGACGACGGCATCGAGGGTCTTCTTGGTGCCGTTGGCGAAGGGCTCCAACTCGAAGACACCGGGGGGACCGTTCCAGAGGATGGTCTTGGCCTCAGCAATGGTCTGCTTGTAGAGCTCAACACTCTTCTCGCCAACATCCAGACCCATGTAGCCGTCGGGAATACCCTCAGCGTCGGTAGCAGTGCCGGTCTTGGCATCAGCAGCGAACTTGTCGGCAGTGACGTAGTCGACGGGCAGAACGATCTTGACGTCGTGCTTCTTGGCCTTCTCGACGACCTCGCCAACGATCTTGCTGCCAGCCTCGTCGAAGAGACTGTTTCCGATCTTGACACCCTCGAGGGTCTTCTTGAAAGTGAAAGCCATGGCACCGGTGATGATCAGGCTGTTGACCTTGGGCAGCAGGTTGTCGATCAGCTGGATCTTGTCAGAGACCTTGGCACCACCCAGGATGGCAAGGAAGGGGCGCTGGGGGCTCTCGAGAGCCTTGGCGAAGTACTCGAGCTCCTTCTTCACGAGGAAACCGGAAGCCTTCTGAGGAAGGTCAACACCGACCATGGAAGAGTGAGCACGGTGGGCAGTGCCGAAAGCGTCGTCTGTGGTGTGGAATATTAGTACACAGCTCATAAACTAGTGGCCTCCCAAGATGGAAGGTGTGAGAAAAGGATGACTTACTGATGTAGACATCACCAAGAGCAGTCAGACCCTTGCGGAACTCAGCGACCTTCTCCTTGTCGGCCTTGACCTTCTTGCCCTCGGCATCCTTGGAGCTGCCCTCCTCCTCAGCGTGGAAACGCAGGTTCTCAAGGAGAACAACCTGGCCACCAGTGGCCTTGTTGACGGCCTCCTCAGCCTCCGGGCCAACGCAGTCCTCGGTGAAGACAACGCTGCGGCCAAGCAGCTTCTCCAGCTCGGCAACAACGGGCTTCAGGCTGTACTTGTCGTTCTTCTTGCCGTCGGGGCGGCCCAGGTGGGACATGAGGACAACGGCCTTGGCACCATTCTCGATAGCGTACTTGATGGTGGGCAGAGCACCGACGATACGCTGGTTGTTGGTGATCTCCTTCTTGTCATTGAGGGGGACGTTGAAGTCGACCTGTCCAGTGAGCAGACTAGTTAGCATTGAAGGCTCATCTTAAACCCCACGACGGTGACTGATGAAAAGGTGGGGGTTTCCGGGGCAACAACATACCCGGATCAGGACACGCTTGTCCTTGAGGTCGACATCGGTGATAGCGAGCTTGTTGGTAAGAGACATGATGAACGACGGTTCTACGACAGTCGGACGGGGTTAGAGGATGTGAGGGGAAGATAGGGAAGTGGGGTGACAAAAAAAGAGAGAAAGGAGAAATTGGGAGGGGGAGAGACGTAGTATTAGTAGCACCACGGGGGATGAGGAGATTGGGAAAAATGCCTACTTAATAGGTCCGCGGTGAGCGAGTCTGGTCACTGGAAGCTACGACTTCATTCGGTTCGGCGGCGGGGTAAAAGTGGTATGGGCTGGTGGTGGGGCAGCCGGTGAGAGAAGTTGAAATCGCGGGCGCCTCGGGCTGATGCGGGACTGATGTCAGCGCCCGCGAATCGATGACGGAAGGGTCCGGGGCCTCAGGGGTGAACATTATGCCTGTTATGCCCCGTTCGGAGCCCCTTAGCCTCGGATCATTGCTGCGATGGGAGCTTCTGCTGCGTCCGGGGGTGGATCTATCAAGCAATCGTTCCGATATTTCTCGTCTATGGATGCCGGCTCGCTCGTGGGGACAACCCCGCCTACAGGAGACATTCCATCATTCGTGCCTGGTTCAAACCCGAAAAACAATGGTGTATAATTCATTTTGTCGACATGGTTTATCGATCAATGCAATTGACTCCGGTGTACCCACACTGCTGGACGAAGACCTATACACCACCCATGAGAGGAAGAATAACAGAACCCCCGAAGTTCATTTACAGCGCCCAGTAAGCACGAAACGACGCAGGGGAAGGAAGAATGACAGACAATTGACAGAAGAAACGATTGGGAACCTTGTGGGAGCCAAAATATGAGCCCGCTACTACCATTACTCCTCCTCCGAAGAGTTGGTCAGCGACAGATACGCAGTCCAGGCGATTCCGACGGAAGACACGAAGGGCTGGAAGAAAAAAGAAATATCAGTATAACAGTGCACAAGAGTTTTATCACAATAGTACTCACAATCTGGAACTGGATAGGTACGACACGGAAGTTCAGAATCTGAACAGCGGGCCAAAGGACAAAGTTGGCCTTGAGGGTTGGCAGATAGACGTCCTGGAACTTGCGCGTCAAGGCTCTCCTTCCTCCTCCCTCTGCAACCGTCATGAAGGAGAAGAAGCACGCCAGACCTGGTAATAATATTAGCTAAGAGAAAAGAGCTTTCTTCTTCCTTCGGAGACAGTTCATACCAAAAGGAGCGAACATCAGCTGATCCACGCACACTCTCTTCAGCGCGGGAATCGACGGGTTCCTCTTGGTAAGGGGGAACGCCCTGGACAAGAAACCGAACCAATGGAACTGAACCGGGGCCATGAAGAAACCGTACGACATAAAGCGAGTCAGGCGCTCGAAGTCGAAGGGCGGCGGCATATGTCTAGCATGTCCCAGCTCTCCAAGAGCAGGCGGCTTCTCTTTATCGAGGTCATGGATCTCAATTGAAATAAGATCGTTACTGTCAGAGGGCCTGCGTCCTCCACGAGCCTTGAAAGCCGTGATTAACTGTGCGACCGTATCTGCGATCCCACCAAGTATCTACCGCGCCGTCCAACGTCAGTCGATCATATGCCAATGACAGATGATTCGCTCGAAGGGACTCTTACCGCATTGGTAACCATGGTGGTTAAGACTAAAGACGACACAAAGTCAGTCAGCTCCTGAAGGCGCTTAGCAAGGGAGCGTGAGAGCCTTACTTGGTTTCTCGGCATAGTAAGAGTTGAACTTAGCGGCAAGTCGCATTGCAGCCGCCATTTCGATGAGAAAGATTATGGCGTGAAGCAATGGCTATAATAGAGAAGAATGGAAGGAGTGAAGTTAGTGATGAGTTCCCTCATAGAAAAAGTTTACTTGATAAAGGTTGCTCGTTTTAGGAAAAATGTAGAACCCCCTTGGGTGAGATAGGATGGAATCGAGACCAAGAGTTCACATACCAGACGGCCGTAGATGTACCTCCGATTGAGTCCATCGAGTATTCTTCGACGACTAGTGGAGAACATGACGAAGGGCGATGATAGACAAAAGTGATTGGCAAGATGGAAGGGGATCGAAGGCGAACGGCTTGGAAATCCCGGTTGGCGGGCTCGGGGCGAGTATGACGCAAAGGACTGCCAGAAAGCGCGCACAGGCGAAACAAGGGCGAGCAGGCGAATAAGCAAGTTCCCCGACGACTCCTGGACCCGGTGTCGGTGATCGTCTCGTTGGGTGTCGATGAGACGGCGTACTGTGTACAAAAGTAAAGCAGGAGGTTAGATTTGGGTTTAGGTCGACCAGCGATTCAGGCCCCCGTTAAATAGAATCAGAGGAACGGTACTCTGAGGCAGCGAAGATGCAAGATCGAGGTCATGTCATCTTGCCGGGGATTCGAACTTCTCCCCGCCCCTTGAACCAATCCGCTCGCGTGATCACCCGCCCATCTCCGCCCGCCCGCCGCTTTTGAGGCGGAGGGTCTTGCATTGCCGCCTTTACATCTTAAGCCCGATCTTAAAGCTAACAACAACTACCACTACTACTGTCTGGGGAGACTCAACTTTCATCACATAGATTAAATGCTGTATTGATAGGATATACATGCAACTGATAATGAGACTTGACAAGTCTTCGTTCCTTCTCACCACCCGCTACTCATGCTATCTATCCTTTAAATCGTGAAGATAGCAAAGTCCATGAACATGCATCGTAACTAGCCAGCATTCAAGCTATCTATCATAAAAGTAACCCACATCTCCTCTCAACTGACCACCTCAATCGGTCGACCTTTCCTTTCAAAGGAATGGATGTCCGGGAGATCTTTAATATCAATCGTCTCGTTCGTATTTACATCCACCAGACGTACAGCTTCCAGACGAAGTGCCCCCACCGCCAATGGAAGCAATTTCAGTTCCGTAGAAAAACAGGTGCCAGGCAAAAGGGGACTATTATATGATCAGCTGGGGCAAAGGAAAAGGGAAGAGTGAAGGGGCTACCCACCCAGCCCGAACGTCGGTACTTAGAGAAACGAGTTCTGCTTCCTGGCCAACTACACTCTTCTGGAGTGCATGGACAATGTTATCATCGGTTACAGCTTCTGCGACCTGAGCATCTTTCCGGCTCGTCGCAGATGAAGAAGAGGGTCGCACGGTATGCCCCCGTGGGTCCAGCTTCTTCCGGCGAGGGATTGCAACTATTGAGAATTTGCGGGAACCGGAAGATCGGTTCACGATGAAGATACTCCAAGCAAAGGGTTTTCCTACTTCGACATGTGGAGGGCCACTGAACGAAACGGATACACCAAGGCCTGCTGTTGAGTATGCCCGCTCTCTCAGAGAGCTTCGATTAGGTGTAGCGGTCCCCGCTGCGGCGTTGCTTTGGTTAGGTGTCATTGGAAGACTCGCGGGGCGGTTGTTTCGTTGTAGAGCCTGGCTAGGTCCACCAAAAGTTGGGTTGAGGACCATGGAGAAATCAACGTTGGTTCTCCATTGCATCAATATCCGCGGGTTACAATTGTCCGACAGGTGGATTATTGCTTCTAGCGAGATATCCAGTACACTGACCATCACAGTTGTCGATGGATTTGGGTCCGGCGCATAGTCGGGCGTTAACTTGTATACAAGGGTGATATCATCTCGCGGCTGGCAACGGATGGGCGGCAGCAGTCCTGGTGCATCTGTAAGGGTTTCTATCGTCCCATCCGACATGCTAAGCTCTGCCTTGTCAAATGTGACATCGCAATTAAGGAATGGTGTCACCTCAAAATCAAGGCTTGCAACAGTGGTAGGCCGTCCACTATAGGCATTCAGCCGAGAATAACGTATCCTTGCACTGGCAGCAGGCACTATGCGTATGGGGTGGCCGGAATGTTGCTGGACATTATATATGGGGTCTTCACTGTATTTCGCCGGTACAACTCGCAGGAGCCTAGATGCGGGGAGGAATGGATCTTTCTGATCCAAGGACTTATCACTCGACAGCGGCTGTAGAATGTTTGTTGACGCGGGGATCAGGGGCGGGAGGTAGTCGTCTCCCCGAGGCTCTTGCTGTCGGGTTTCAGCTGGGTTGAGGCTAGCAGAGGCGATGAAGAGGAGGGAAGGGTGTTGAATGCGTATGCGAGGGCGCTCTGAGGTTTATCAGCACGACAGGATGCCGGAACAAGGACGGAGTCCTTACTCAAGAATGCCTTGACACTCCAGATCACATATACGTGGTTGCCCCCACCTGTGTCTCCCTCAAACTCATTGACCACCACCAATGGCTCCTGTGAATCTACAACCCCTGAAAATATAAGGTCCCGAGTCGGGGTCGGGTTCTCCGCGACTGTCTCGGCGGGATCAATGGCAAAGGCATCGAGTCGGACTTCGAGGTGCGGAAGATACTGTTTCAGGCTAGGTGGAGAGCAATTGGATAGTCGTAAGACAACGCGAACGGTGCAGAACTCATCTGTATCACGCTACATATGAGTAAGAGATAGAGCTCGATCCGGCCAGCAGGTCGTAGCGTACCGAAGAACAGGAGAGAACGCTGCGGTATGAGCGACAACACAGAAGTGAGGTCCTCTGCGCCTTTTTCTAGAGCCGACGTCAGAGCCGCCTCTAGGTCGGCATCTGAAGCATGCGGGACAACTGTATCTAGAACAGCATGTCGGAGGAATTCCCCGGGGATGTCGAGACTCGGCATGGCGAGAACAACAGCCGCATGCTCTTCTTCTCGTAACGAAATAGGAAGACAGCACGCGCACAGGCAACCGACACCAGGGAGATCAAAAGAAGGCAACAGACGGGAATCCCCTCGATGCGCATTTAATTTAAGAGCAGCCAGGGACCCAGGCGCGCCGGGTGGAGGTGTTCGATACTCCGGGCGCTGCAAACACGGCAAACAGCCTTAGCGCAGGAACCCCGGCGAGCTTCTTCGAACGCTGCTTTTTCCGACCTTCTCTCATCGTCGCAACAGCAGTATCTGTCCCCGGCAGCTTCTGCAACTCCGATATGAATCCCATGAACGGTCCGGCTGGCGCGCCCTCCATGTGGCAGGAGGCGCGTAACTCTGACGGTCGAGTTTACTACTACAATGTACAGACGAAGGCGACGCAATGGGCGAAGCCCATCGAGCTGATGACGCCTGTAGAGGTATGTGTCCTCAAGCTTCTTTTTCTTCATGACATTGCCATATATTATATGTCCTGGATGCTAATCCTCTGTTAATCTCCTATAGCGTGCCTTGGCAAACCAGCCGTGGAAGGAATATACTGCTGAGGGTGGTCGGAAATACTGGTACAACACCGAAACCAAGCAAAGCACGTGGGAGATGCCAGATGTTTACAAAACTGCTCTGGCACAGGCTCCAGCGCCTCAGGCTCCTCCAGTGGCGTAAGTCTACAGCCAAATTTTCCTCTCAATGCGCTCATGATACTGACGTGACTATGCATAGGGGTCCGACTTTCGTTGCAGGTGGTGTTAGCTCCTTTTCTTCCTACCCACAACAGCGTGACCGCGACGACTATGATCGAGGCTATGGCGACCGACGTGGAGGATATGGTTCGATGGATACCAATGGCATCGCCGCGGCCCCTGTCCTAGGTACACAGCAAGCCGAACCGGAATACGGCTCTCTCGAAGAGGCAGAGAGCGCATTCATGAAAATGCTGAAGCGCCACAACGTGCAACCCGACTGGAGCTGGGAACAGACCATGCGTGAAACCATCAAGGATCCCCAGTATCGTGCCCTCAAAGACCCCAGAGACCGCAAGGCAGCATTTGAAAAATATGCGGTCGAGGTTCGCATGCAGGAAAAGGATCGGGCGAAAGAAAGATTCGCTAAGCTCAGAGCAGATTTTAATACCATGCTGAAGCGCCATCCTGAGATTAAACATTACAGTCGCTGGAAGACCATCCGACCGATCATCGAGGGCGAAACGATCTTTAGATCTACAGATGATGAAAACGAGAGGCGCCAGCTCTTCGAGGAATACATTGTTGAGCTCAAGAAGGAGCACATCGAGGAGGAAGCTGTTAAGCGCAAAGCTGCTATGGATGAGCTGGTGACTATCTTGAAGTCCCTGAACCTGGAACCATACACACGCTGGTCTGAAGCACAGGCGATTATTCAGTCAAATGACAAAGTCCAAAGCGATGATAAATTCAGAACCCTGAGCAAGTCCGATATTTTGACTGCATTCGAGAACCACATCAAGTCCCTTGAGCGGGCCTTCAATGATGCGCGTCAGCAACAAAAGGCTGCAAAGGCGAGAAAAGAGCGTCATGCCCGCGAGCAGTTTATCGAGCTTCTGAAAGAGCTGAGATCTCAGGGTAAGATTAAGGCCGGAAGCAAGTGGATGAACATCTACCCCTTGATCCACGAGGATCCTCGGTACGTTGGTATCCTGGGTAACTCCGGATCTTCTCCCCTGGATCTATTTTGGGATATGGTTGAAGAAGAAGAACGCTCGTTGCGTGGCCCGCGTAACGATGTCTTGGATGTACTTGATGTAAGTCTGATTAAGCCTGGTATTCTGTTCATCTGTCACTAACACGTACTCAGGACAAACGCTTCGAGGTTACACCAAAGACCACTCTTGAAGAGTTCAACGCTGCTGTATCCGGTGATCGCCGCACGGCCAATATTGATCCCGAGATACTTGAACTGATTTTCCAGCGTATCCAGGAGAAGGCTGTCCGACGAAGCGAGGAAGAGAAGCACGCTGCAGACCGTCATCAGCGCCGTGCTATCGATTCATTGCGTTCCCGGATCAAACGCCTCGATCCCCCTGTCCGTGCAACTGATACTTGGGAACAGGTGCGGCCAAGAATCGAAAGATTCGATGAGTACAAGTCTCTGGAGACCGATGAGCTCCGACAGGCCGCCTTTGACAAGGTTATTCGCCGCCTGAAGGAGAAGGAGGAGGACGCGGAACGAGACCGCGAGACCCGCGACAGGGATCGCGGAAGTCGCCGTGATCACCACGACCGTGATCGTGATCATCGCAGCGGGCCATCCTATAGAGGCGAAAGAAGGGGAACATCTAGCCGTCTTAGCCGAACCCCAGAACCAGATGCCTACGAGGCAGATCGCCGTAAAGCCCAAGCAGACCGTGAACGCTCCTACCGGAAGGCCAGCGGTCTATCACCCGTCCGAGAGCGACGGGAAGAGCGTGATCGAGACAGGGAACGTTACCGTGAGCGTGAGCGGGATAGGGACCGCGATCGCGACTGGGACCGTGATCGCAGCGCACGTCCTCTTAGCCACTACGAACGCGAGCGTCGCGAGCGCGAGGAAGAGCGCGAACGCCTCTATCGCACACGCGGTGATCCCCGCGGAGGTCGGGATGAGCTGGATTATGGTGCCGATACCAAGAGCACCACAAGCAATGATCGTAGGCGCAGACGCGACAGCGACACCGAAAGTGTTGCCAGTCGCTCTGCAAAGCGGTACCGACGTGATAGTCGGGAGCGCGAACGCAGCCGGGGTGCCAGGCGAGATCGAGACCGTCGCGAGCGGACTCCAGCGGCGACCGATGATGGAAAGAAAGAGGAAAAGGCCGTCCACTCCGGTAGTGAAGAAGGGGAGATTGAAGAAGATTAAGTAGATGCACACACACTACTACCCGTACCGGCAGATGTTCCATAAGTAGTAAATTGCCAATGGACTCCGACTGACTCTACGCTCGTAGGGTTGGGTGTGGTGGACGCGTCTCTCATCTTTGCTGCCCCAGTATATCGACTTTGTATGTCTAGCGCCCACACGATTGATATATGCATTTCTTGACATGTGAAAATACAAATACAATACTTATGATAATATACTTTCATGGTTCACCTAATAGTAATCTAATACGGTCAAAATCATGGCGTCCAATTCTTGGGTTCAGTTTCATTTAACTGTTTCGAAAATATATATAGTACTAGTACTAGTCTAGTATCACATATCATTGATACTACGCAGCACGGCACATCATCATGTGCACCGACATATAGAGCACAAAGCCTCATTTGAATTTCTTTGGATATCTTAGTTAGTAACCACTATATATTGATAAATATCTTCCATCACCTTCTGGGGAGTTGCTGTTGTCTCAACATTAACACCCAAAGGCTGGCGGGAGGCTGCTACCATAGAGCTGAATTTCAGATGATGGTGCTGAATTATCTGTCATCTTCATTACGGGTTCTGGATATTGCTTCATGTGATCCAGTGATAACAGAATGCGGGAGATCTGTTCCTTACTGGTTACGCTACGAAGGATACGATGATAGTGGGAGGTATCATCGGGCGGGAGGAGTACGATGTCCGGTGGAGACGGACAATTTCGGGGGTAATCTACTCTCTAGGCGGAGATAAGCTATGTAGAGAATATACTACTCTGTCCTAGATAGCTCTTATTTATGCTTGGATAGAGAAAACCAAGTGATATATACGAAGTGAATGACTAACGTAATGCAATATGTTCAAAAAAAGAAAATCTTTTGGACAGTGGTCACCTAGCTTGACCATAACCAGCTAATCTTTTTTTCCCTCACCGACACCCTTTTTGTCGGTGGACCATCCGTGTTGACAAACATTGTAACTCCGACATGACTGCGCCATCCAGGAAATCCGTATCCCTAAACATGATCTCAAGACTAGTCTCGTGTGTCTTCACTCCGAACCATCGTGAAGAGGACTATATTGAACTATGCAGGCGTGGATGGCGCTGGGGAGGGACGACCATGAGCGACGACAAGGGGGGCCAGAGAGGATTAACTGGAACAGGTAAAACCACTGCTCCTACCTAGCCGAACAAGTCGTCCGCTCCCTCTTCGTCATCCTCCTCCAAAGCACCATCCACATCATCAGGAAGGCGCACGCCACGGCAACGGCGCCGCCGTCTCTGAGCTGCAGAGGCCTTTGTAACGCCGAAAAACGCCACTACCCGAAGGTAGCCCCAGCGACGATAGCGACGCCGCTGGTCCGAGTCGCGGCCGTCACGTTGGTGAGGCACGCGGTCATACTTGCCCGGAACAACCTCCTCATTTCTCTTCTTCCAAGAAGAACTGTGGAACATACATGTCAGTATTATACTTCCAATAGAACAGAGACGATACTACCACGGCCGAACCGTGCAAGTACTGGGGTGAAAAGATTGTAGACTTACGTAGTTGCCGGCCAACTTCTGCTCCTGGTCCATCTGGGACTGGTACTTGTTAATACGAGGGCGGTAACTGTTGGGGTCACGACGGAAGGTGACATCCAGGTTCTTCAAGAAAGTGTTGCAACCAGTGACCAGGGACTCAGGGGCGTTGGCGTGAGCATCGACGGAGGGCTGACCATCGAAGACGATAACACGATCGGCGAGATAAGTGGCCATGATGAAATCGTGCTCGACGATGAAAGCAGTCTTCTTGGTGTGCATGATGAAACGCTTGATGACCCTGGAGGCCACGATACGCTGCTCGGAGTCCAGGTAAGCACTAGGCTCGTCAATGAGGTAGATATCGGCGGGGATTCCCAGAGCCAGGACAATAGCAACACGCTGCAATTCACCACCAGACAGATTCTGGACTTCCTGGTCAATGAAGTCATCAATCTTGAGGGGCTTGTAGACATCAGTCTGGAACTGGGGCGACAGGAACGCGGCCTTGATACGCTTGAAGAACAGCTGACGGACGGTACCCTGGAACTTGGGGGTGATCTTCTGAGGCTTCATGGAGATGTTCAGGCGAGGAACGCTCTTGCCACCGTCAGGCTTCTCAGCACCAGCAAGCATCTTACAGAAGGTGGTCTTTCCGGTTCCGTTCTCACCCATCATGACAATAATCTCAGAGTCGGTGAAACTTCCAGCATCGATCTTGAGGTGGAAGTTACCGAGAGTCTTCTCCATGCTGGGGTAGGCGAAAGCACGGGCTCTGTCCACCATGAAGTCATCGCCAGCCTCAGCAAGACGGAAAGTAAGAGACTCCTCACGGAATCGCAAGTTCTCGGTAGGGATGTGACCATCCAAGAAGATGTTGATACCTTCACGGACGGAAGCAGGCAGAGTAACCACACCGTAAAGGGCGGGTCTTCCATAGAGCACACAGACGAAGTCAGACAGGTAATCAAGAACAGACAAATCGTGCTCGACAACGATGACATAATCGTCAGGGCGGAGGAGCTCTCTGATGGAGCGAGCGGCGGCGAGACGCTGCTTAACATCGAGATAGGAGGAAGGCTCGTCGAACATGTAACTGTAAAGTTTGTCAGCTCTTGCGCAAATAGAGACGGTTCCAGATATTGTTCTTACACGTCAGCCTTCTGGACGCAAACCAGACCAATGGCGAAACGCTGGAGCTCTCCACCAGAAAGGTGACCGATATCACGGTCTTGGACCTGTCTCAACTCTGCATATATCATTAGCAGTGTTGTTAATAAGCTCGTTTTGCAACTGCGCCATACCAAGAGTGTCGAGAATGTGATCCAGGTTGTCCAACTGGGCGCGGGCCTTGATGAGGGCTCCAACGTTCTGAACGGGGCCCTTGACAGCCCTGGGAATCTGATCGACATATTGAGGCTTCACAACAGCCTTGAGATCATCCTCCAGAACCTTGGTGAAGTAGTCTGCATACAATTAGAAGTCTGTAAAACTCAACTCCACGATACTGTTTATACGTACTCTGCAGTTCGGAACCACGGAAGTACTTGAGGATTTCTTCCCAGTCGGGAGGGTTGTCAAAACGTCCAAGGTTGGGCTTCAGCTTTCCACTGAGAATCTTCAACGCCGTACTCTTTCCAATACCGTTGGTACCGACGAGACCAAGCACCTGTCCGGGACGGGGCATGGGAAGACGGTGAAGCTTGAAACTGTTGGCGGAGTAACGGTGGGTAACTTGGGTCTCCAGGTTGGTCGGCAGGTTGATGATGTGAATGGCACCGAAGGGGCATTTCTTGGGACAGATACCGCAACCGATACAGAGGCGCTCGGAGATGAAGGCAATCTTGGACTCGGGAGTGACCTCGATACACAGCTTACCCGTACGGACGACGGGGCAAGACTTCTTACATTCCTGGCGACATTTCTAGAAGAGAAAGGATGGAGCGTTAGAAGACTGGTCTGGGGGCGCGAAGAAAGCAGGAATATTGGGAGATTCGCGTACCTTGGGTTTGCACTATTACCAGCCAAGCGAGATGTCTCAGTATA